GTCCAGGCTGATGTGAAGCCTTCCCTGTAGCAAAGGTGAATTATTTTTAATAATCTTCTATGTAAACATTTTATTATCACCTTCTAGTTTTAATTTGTTTTACAGATTATTGTTACACGTGATTTTATGCTCTTTTAAACATTTATAAATGTGCTGCTTCTTTGTTTTTACATAGCCAGCCAGAATGGAGTTCACAGCCGCAGTGTGTCTGGTGACCCACAGGGACCATGATGAAAATTCATCTTCCAGAAAGTCCCAGAGCGTCCAGACCTCCTGAAAAGACCAAGATGTAAGGTGTCTGCTGTTGATTCCAGCTTCCACCTCAGTGACAGTGCAAGCTCAGTGAACTGTTCAAGGTAAAAAAAAAATTAAAACATTTCACAATTTTTAAGATATTAACAATTAAATAAGTATGTGATTACATCATGACGGAGGCTACTGATTCTGGCCCTGTGATACTTGGTGGTGACGTGTGAGCTGATTCACCTGGAAAATAACTTTTACATTAAATATTTTGTTTTTGTTATCAAAAGTAAATTAACTAATAACCTGCATTATTGCAGGACACTCAGCAAAATATGGACTCTACACCATGAGGCATGCACACATTAATACTCTATAAGAGCACATAAGGTGAGCAACACCACATATTGTACACTGTCCTGAATTTGTTTTCTTTCTGCATCTCATTAGCCTGGCTGATCACCTGATAACTCCTGTCATCTGGTTATGACAGCATGAGGATGTCCTCACACACCTGTAACCTATCAGCTCATCCTGCTGAATAGAGAGAGAAGAGACAACACCACATCTCCTGTTCCTGGAAAGCCTTCAGCCATCCTTCGATGACTGAGAACCTCCATCAGCTCTGTCTCCTGTCTGCCTACAATTATTATAATAAATATTGTGTTTGACAAGTTTTTTGTGCTGCCAAATATCTCATTTAGATTCCAGTTTTGATATTTTAATGGATATTTATAAATTACATTGATTATCACATTTTTGTTGCATGTTTAACTAGCTATTGTGATTAATTAAACTAGCACCTCACTGTTAAAAGCTCGTTTTAATTTCAAGCATGTTTAAGTATTTATGGACATGAACAAAAACAGGAAATATATAAATTGAGATTTATTTAATTAATATAACAAATAAGGGGGAAAGAGTCATTGAAAGGCACATTCTTCTGGAAGCTCCTGATCCTGAAGACACCAGCAGAGACCAGCTGCAGACACCAGAGACCACCTGCAGACACCAGAGGACCTAGAACCGAGAGAGCAGCTGTTATTAGTAAATAAATAAAGAAATCAGGGCAGTTTTAGTGGGCTGAACACATTACAGAATAATTTTCTCATGGGGTATTTTCATAACTTTATGCAGCAGACTGTAACTTGAGCCCAGAGCTACCGGAGAGCTGCTATCCAGCATGTTTCAGTGGATTTTCCTGCTTTAACAGGTTAGATTAGCTGTTAAGCAGCTCAGCTATTTGTTGCTGATTAAAACCAGGTGTGCTGAAGCAGATAAACCTCTAAAACATGCTGAATACTAGCTTTTTAGGGCCGTGGATACAAACCCTGCAGCTAATCCAATGCTATGGCTAACGGCTACTTACCTTTCAGAGGTGATTCTGTTGGGTCGGTTCTGGGAGTTTCAGGCAACTCACAAGCTCAAAACAATAAGACTCAGGTCCGCTTGTCTCCTCCAAATAGACTTGGTCCCTTTCTTCTCGAGTGTCTGTGTAAGGAGGGGGGAGAAACGTCCTCCACTTCTAATAACTGCTCAAGAGTGAAGGGAGCTAGCTTCGTCTAGTTAGCCATCGTCTTCGTCACTGCCGCGGCTCCGCCCTCTCGGTCCTCCAGGCAACGCCTACTAATGTTGCATTTTTTAAAATTGATACGTGGGTGGAGAAGGACTCCGAGGCTCAATTGACCCGCTCTTTAAACAAAGATGAGGGTAAGATGTTGAGGGGGCATGCAGAGGTCTTCATAGAGTTAACTAGTTTGGTTAACTCAGGCAAAGAAACAGGAGCAAAGCTATCTAGAATGATGGGCCTGGTTGGAGTCGGGAGAGGCAGAGATAAGGCTGAAGGAGAGATGCTAGATCTAACCTTATTGACTTTGTCCACAAAAAAAAGACAAAGTTCTCACAGTCTGTAACAGAGTGGATGGAGGCTCTAGGAGAAGCAAGAGAGACAATGCTGCTGATGGTGTTAAACAGCACCTTGGGGTTCCATTTGCTCTGGGACACCAGGTTGGAAAAATAGGAAACCCTAGCATCTCTGACTGCAGAGTTAAAGGATGTCAGAAGATCCTTTAGGTGCAGCAGATGGACGTGGAGATGGGTTTTCTTCCACAAACGCTCAATTTTTCTGCATTGGCGCTTCAGGCTGCGAAGGCTGTCATTAAACCAGGGAGTAGGGTTCACTGCAGGAACTGATCTGGTTCTGACAGGACGGATGTTGTCCAGAATGGAGAGGCAGTACTCATTAAAGTGAGAAGTTAAGGAATCTGGGTCATTATCAGAAAAACAGGGTGGATCAAAAGCAGCAGAAGAATTGCTAGCTGTGCTCTCATTAAGAAAACAAGAACTAACCATACGGCGAGCAGGAGGTGGGGACGCAGAAACTGACAAGTTAAAGAAAATGCAATGGTGATCTGAAATATAAACGTCCTCAGGACAAACACTGTCAGCATTTAGACCAGGGGTGTCAAACATGTGGCCCACGGGCCGGATGCGGCCCGCAAGCGGGTTAAATCCGGCCCGCGAGATGGTTGTGTAAACTTTGTTTTCATACTTTACAATGTAGAGTGAAAATAAACTTATCTTTGTGAGCAAGTTTCCTCTGTAATGAGTATAAATAAAACAAAGCTGCGCTCAAGGCTCACACAAGAACTTGAATCACATCCTGAAGTTGGCTGCCACTCAGGATGTGACTTCTGATATTGATGTGCTGGTGAAAGCTAAAAGATGTTAAGTTAAATGAGTCAAATATACTTTAAGTGCTGCATGAAACTGATCTTGCCATGTGATCTATAAGCTCTTTGAATCACTAAGGAATGTTTTTTTATTTGTTGATTTATTTTATTTTTTCCAAATTTTCAAGTACACTTCAGGTGTTGTACTTGTACTACACTGTCCTCAGGCTCCAGCCTTGTTTTATATTGATTGTATTAAAACAAAGAAAACAATCTGAAGTTTTTTTTTTTATTTACCGGTGCGGCCCACTTGGAACTAGATTTCCCTCAATGTGGCCCCTGAGCTAAAATGAGTTTGACACCCCTGATTTAGACCCAAGGTAAAAACAAGATCTAGAGTGTGCCCCCTGGTGTGTGTGTGGCCAGAAACATGCTGGATAAATGGTAATAACATTTAATTTCTGCTGCTAACAATGTACGGTGGCATGTCTATTATGTACGGGAAGGCAATAATCCAGTTTAAATTGTGTTCAAAGATGGAAGCGTTTGTGAATTATATACTACAACGACTTGCCGTACACTTGTAGCAGTAATGTGACTGGTTTGTGCAGCGGTTCTGATTCTGCAAGATGCAGAATAAACAGGATGGTGGGGACTTTTCACCTGTTTGTAGAGTTTAGTCTTTCTTAGTTTTACGATAATCATCATATATTTTTCTGTGCGCCACTTGATCGTGAGACTGTTACCCGTTAGCTTTAGCATTAGCTAATCTGCGTGTAGCTGCACTTTTGATCCCAAACTTTTGACCAGTTCTGCCGTTGTGCCTTTGCTGGTTCCTTTATTTTCCTTCACTGCATCCAGATTTCCACACTGCGCTCCAGTAAAAAGCATTTTTCTTATACATAACTTACTTTTGTTCAATAAGGTTCTGGGGAAAATAGTAATTGAAAGATGTTGCACCTGTGCTACGTTTAAAAATAGACAGACACGCACAGACAGTTTTTTTTGTTGCACTGTACAGCCCTGCTCTGACATGGAAGAGCCTGGGGGAAAATCAGGATGTCAATAGCACCAACCATAGGTATGTACCAACTAGCGAGAAAAGCTATTTTTTATCTTCTTTTTCTGCAGCGGTTTTAGCGCTTTTCGGTGCACCGCTGCTAATATAGCGCCCCTGTAGTGACGCAATGCTGTAACTGCAGTTAAAATAACATCCATGTAGCTGGGGGCAGAGTAAAATCAGGCTGGGGCGGCACAAAATTAGCTGGAGGCGGCCACCACGCAAGTTTGAATGCAGGAAAAACCCTGCCATATGGACAAAACAAAACATACAAATTATTTTAAACCTATGCTGGGTTTCACTCACGTGACGTCTGCAGCCGCACAAAACTCAGATAGAGGCAGGACGTGTTTTGCTCCACAACAAAACACAGATAAAACAGCGCGATGGATGAAAGTGATTTGGGCTTTAAATGAGCAGGCACAGACGATATATCGCGAAAAAATACATCTGCTTTTAGGTTATGACCTAAATAGTTTGAAAAGTAGCACTTTTCACACACTGTGGAGGATTTACCCAGCGCTGAAGCGATCTGCAACAAACTACCTTGTGCTGCCTTCCTTATAAGCCTTTGAAGATGGAAGCCTACAGCTGTTTTATTTCAGGTTAGTTAAAAGTTGACTATGGAACACAAACCATCTGGTGAGCCCTGGTGTTCAGAGGTTGTACTGGTAGGTTAGTAGTTGTAGTGTATAATAACACTCTACTCAGCTGCCTTCAGAAGTCACCTGAATAAAAGGGGGCTCAATAAAAATGTACACCACACCACCCACCAAGAACCGTGTATCCCTTTAATTCCGCTTCACAATTATGTGCTACTTTGTGTTGGGCTACCAAAGAATTGCAAGGCAAAAGTGAAAGGTACTTTACCTAAATCAGAACGAAAATGGGAAGTGGTTCTGGGACACACCACCCCAGATGGAGAGTTGGATTTTACTCTGGCTCAAGCCTCCTGCCTACAAAACAGAAAGACCGTATTACAGTCCTGGTAAAACCACACTCACCTTATCTCTGCTGCTCCGCAGGTCTGCTCCCTCCTGAATGTCCCCATGGACTTTAAGGAACACTTCAGAAGTGCTGAAGATATGTCGTTTTGAGTCTGAAGAGCGAGTCTACGGGGGTTTTGGTAAACTGGTATTTGTTAATGATATCAGGTTCTAATGAACATGTGGGAGTGATTGGAGGCAGACCGGAGACTCCACAGACCTGACACACCATAGGTCTGTGGTGGGGCAGCGTTAAACTTCCATCCTTGTGGTTCTGCTGTGGAGAAGCTAAAGAACCAGACTGATGGAACTAGATGTTCTGTAACTCCTGTGGTGTTGGTGTCCGGGAGAAAATAATATGATATAATAAAAGTCTTGAATAAAACCAAGTCTTTTGTGTGTGTGTGTGTGTGTGTGTGTGTGTGTGTGTGTGTGTGTGTGTGTGTGTGTGTGTGTGTGTGTGTGCGCGTGTGTGCGTGTGTGTGTGTGAGAAACTGACCTTTAACCCCAGAACTTCCTCCACTTTCTGTGGTAAACTTAGTTCTTTATTATTAAAGTTGAGGAATCTAAAAGTTTGATCTCATGTCTCAAATTAATCTGGGTTTTCTTGTTTAAGAATCGGCCAGCTTGGTTGTCTGAGGGTTTGATTTCAAGGATTAGTTAATTAAATGTTTAATACAGGGCGTTCTAGCTAGTGGGTCAGTATCACGAATAGAACACAAACGGCAGCTTTCATAACAAGTACAGTTCTAATTTCTCAAGCAAAATGAAGAAGACTTATTTAGTATTTCATGTTGGATGCCATGTTTGTTTATTTCCTGTCTAGTGTTGATTTCAGTAACACAACCTTCAGGCACGAAAGGACGTCTGGTTCTGTCCTGCTCGGAGAGACCGTCCTGGATCTGGACTACAGAAGGGTCGTTATTCCCACCTGCTTCACAACAAACTCAGGAAACAGTTACAGAACCTGGTCATAATCTTATGGTTCCTGCAGGAACTTAAAAGTCAGCATTTTGTGCCCAAACTAAACAGACTGAATAAACGCCACCACGAGGGAATGAAACGTCTGGTTCACTGCAGCTGGACCAGACCGAGCCTGGCGTTGTGCTACAGAACAATGTGACTACTGATATCTGATGTTAATGGTGGACAACCAGTGGATGTTATTTCTAACGACAATAAGAACTTTAAATACACTTAAATCTGATTCCTCATGGAAGTATGGGGGGCCATTTGTAAAGTCAGTCTTAATAGTCCAGCGATATTTGTTGTTATTTAGCCGATCATAAGAAAAAAATATAGTAGTTCATTTTCTAAAATCAAGTTTTAACCATGTTATCCACATGACTACAAATGTTAAAATTCCCAACTTAATATTCAGTTGGCAAGCAAAATATTTCATTTTGAGTTAAATATTAATTTTAATTTAGGTCAAATCCATGTATCTCATTCTTTCTATTTTCGAATATGGAAAGCAAATGTAACATGATTTAGGTGGTTCCTTTTACAGAATGATCAATAAGATGTGATATTCCATATAAATATGAATTATCAATATTATTGGTCTTTCGCTATTTGATTTAAGATGAAACCAGGTCTTTTTAGTAGTCCAATGAACGAAATGATGGAATGTAAGCTTAAATGTTATGCTAATAAAACCTAATTAAGTGTCTTAGAACATTGTGATGTCTGGGTTGTAAACAATTCTGATTGTGTGGTTTAAACTATAAATTAATACAACCATCCCACGCCAGTTGTGTAGAATCTACGAACCGTTGTGGTGAAGGCTCCCGGCGATCCAGGGGTCGGACAAGACGGCAGACTGCCGATGGTGTTGACTTCTGGGGTATTCGAAGCTCGTAGGTCCACCTTGAACACTACCGCTGGTCTGAGATACCTTCAGGGTGACTGCTGGTGGTCAGATGAAGTTTTGCATCTGATGGAGCTTTGGAGTTTTGCAAAGAAAGTTTGACCTTGAAGAATGGTTCCTTATGCATTACTGACTCAGCTAGGCCGGGCTGAGCAGGTGGCTGAACGGACTTTAGAGGAAGTGTCAACTCTTAACTGCTGTTTATCAATTTGCGCAAATCAAAAGCTTACAAGTTTGATGTCCTCAGACCCCCCTTCCTCAAACACTTAGAGGTTATCTCCCTTAATGTGATGTAAATATGTTAAACATAATATACCAATATTAATGTGTGAGTATACTGATAAAAAAATCATTAAATTCTACAAGTAGACTCCTTCAGTGTCATTTAAAATCTAACGATCATACAGATAGTTATGTGGATTCATTCATTACGGTGATACAGTCAGGCATTCCTAAACACTTTAGATTTAAAGCATATTGTAGATCCAACAGACTGATTGTAAATAACGTAAAGTTAGAAAGTCATGTTATGAGCCAGAATAAAATAACTTTTAAGGGATTAGATAAAAAGTCTTGTGTTCTCACAGGTGCCTGGTTGTCTTTGATGTGAATAATGCACAAGATAAGAGATATTCATAATCGACCTCCTGGTGTCAGGGCGGCCCAACCTGTATCTTGAAGTCAACCCTCGGTCATTTGATGAAACACGTGGCCTTGGCCACGCTACACCGACAAACCCTGAAAAAGTGAAACAGATTTGTTGTTTTATTTGTTTTTAAAATGAAATTTTAAAAATGTCATGTTTTCCGTATTTTTGATTTTAGTCTCGGATAAAAAAAATGAAATGGAAAAATGGCCGCTTGGTGGGGGAGGGGGGTACTTTTTTATAGTGCTTGCCAATTTTGTCAGTCAAAATGTATTTAAAACAGTGCAAATGATTATTTTTCCAAACCAACAAAATATTTCTTATAAAATAAAGTATTTTTATATTTATTTCGAACATGTGCTGTCACAAATCTCAAAAGTGCATATCTGTATAAACAAATTTGTTCGAAACAGGAAGTAGGTTAAAGCAGTAGCTTATGTGTTCCTACTCATTTTTTTTAATAAAAAAAAGAAACAACAAAAAAGCTTCCACCAAAGAAACAAACACTGTCCTCCTGTGTAGTTATAACACCTACTACATAAGTCATTGTAGGCTCTAAGACTAGCAATAAGCTACATGTGGACTCATATCCATATTAATATTCACAAATATTTGTGTACCAACCCTTATGAATATATACATGCACGCACACCCTTGTATGTACATCAGTATATACCCTCATGTACACACATTCACATCCATTCCTAAACAATACCTCCACATACATATATATACAAACACGTGCACCACTGTATATGTACCTATATACTATTTTTAAAACACAGATGTAGAGGTACAGATATTATAAATTCTCAGCCTGCATATAGTTAGTGAAAATAAATTTTTTGTACTGATTTTTGAACCATGGTGTGAACATTACTTTAATACTGGACTCAATCTGTTCCATAAATTTACTCTAGAAACTGAAATACACCAACTTTTCATTGTAGTTCTAACAGCAGGTTGTTTAAAATGGACCTTACCTCAAAACTGGTATCCTCAATCTCTGATGAAAAATAATTTATGAATATTATGAGGGAGATTATTTATAGCTTTGAACATAATCACTGCTGTTTGAAACTTCACCAGACCTATGAATTAGACCAATTTTGAGTTTAAAAAAAGAGGATTTGTTTGATCTCTGTAACCAGTGTTGTGATTTGTCCTTAACGCTATTTTTTTGTAGAACAGTTAATGAAGATGAAGTGCTTTTACAGGTGTTACCCCATACCTCCACACCATAGTTTAAATATGGCAGAATAAGAGAGGAGTAAAGAATATGGAGTGAATTGTAGGGGCTGCATGATTTAAATTTTTTTTAAGTCAACTCAATCAATCAATCAATCAATCAAAGCTTTATTTATAAAGCGCCTTCCGCAACCCTGTCAGGAAGCCCAAAGCGCTGAACATGGTACAGTTGTAAGTAATTATACTGAATAAATCAACAATAAAAGAAATTCAAATTACAAAATACAAAATGGAAATAACAAGATAGATGAAACATTCCGGTAAAATACAAATGTGTGAAACACAATTGGATTGAGTGGATGGATTGAGTGTACCAATGAAAACTGTGGAATGGATTCAACATAGTAGAGGGCCATAATCAAACATGTTCTGGAAACGCCAAGCGGAGGAGGTGTGTTTTTAGGTGATTCTTAAAGACTGGCAGAGAAGGGGACAGCCTAACTGAGGGTGGCAACTGGTTCCAGAGTAACGGTGCTAGGACTGAGAAAGCCTGGTCCCCACGGGTACGACACCTAGACCGAGGGACAGCGAGCAGGCCTTGGTCAGAGGAGCGCAGAGCGCGTGATGGGGAATGTCTGTTCAGGAGTGTGGCCAGATAGGGGGGAGCACCACCCTGGAAGAAATGATAAACAAAGACGAGTATTTTGAATTGTGAGCGATAGGAAATCGGAAGCCAGTGCAGGGAGGCCAGAACTGGACTGATGTGGTCCCGTTTCCTGGTCCCAGTCAGGAACCTGGCAGCGCTGTTCTGCACAACCTGTAGGCGACGCAGTGTTGACTGACACAACCCTGCGTAGAGAGAGCTGCAGTAGTCAAGCCGAGAAATTACAAAGGCATGCAGTACCCGCTCCAGGTGGGCTCTCGACAGCATATGCTTGATTTTAGCAAGGCGTCTCAGGTGAAAGAAACTGGACCGGATCACAGAATTGATGTGAGCATCAAATTTAAGTCCTACATCAAGTTTCACCCCCAAACTGGTAACAACTGGTTTTGAGTATGGAGAAAGAGGGCCAAGATCAGCATAACGATCCACATTCCTGCTGTTGGGGTGAAAAACAATGAACTCTGTCTTTCCCTCATTCAGATGTAGATAGTTGGACATTAGCCAAGACTTCACCTCATTAACACAGGAGACAAAGGACTGAATAGAGTGACCTTTCTCCTGACACAATGGAGAGTAAATCTGGCAATCGTCAGCATACAGATGGAATGATAGGCCATGTTTACGAAAGATTGACCCCAGAGGTAGCAGATAAATGGCAAACAAAAGAGGACCAAGGATCGACCCCTGCGGGACCCCCCACCGGAGCCCCTCCCAAGAAGAAAAAACATCACCCAGTTTAACACAGAATGTCCTGTTTTGGAGATACGATCTAAACCAGTCCAGAGCTGACCCTTTGATCCCAACCCATCGTTCCAAGCGATCGAGTAGAATCACGTGGTCAACTGTGTCGAAGGCTGCTGTCAGGTCTAATAACAGAAGCAGCACAGATGTTCCCTGATCTAGTGATAGATAGATGTCATTTAGGACCCTCAGTAGAGCAGACTCTGTGCTATGGCCAGACCTGAACCCTGATTGGAAAACCTCAAACAGATCAGAGTCAGCTAAATGTGAGACCAGCTGC